CCAAGGGTTCCCTCCATCTTTCTCTCCAGCGTGGAGGGTGGAACTAAAATCACCAATTACCACAAACGGCAATTGGATATCCTCACAAACTTGGCGAAGGGTGGCTAACTGGGAAGTCCGGATCACATCAACACAACTAATGTAAACGCCAACCACGACATAAGAAAAATTATTTTCATTAATACGAATGCAAATAGCGAAATCCGAATGAAAGAACACCGAAGCATCAACTCCGGGAGACCAAGCTACAACTAGACCACCAAATGCCTCAATTGCATCCACGAAAAAACAATCAGCAACCTGAAATCCTAGGCCCCGCAAACGACGGGAGACGACACGCCTACGGGATCGAGTTTCTGAAAAGAAAACAAGATCCGGTTTATTCGACCGAACAAGACCCACAGCAGTTTGAAATGTGAGGGAGGGTCCGATTCCTCTCACATTCCATGCCAAAACCTTCATTTATCCAACTGGGGCCATTTCCGGCTGGCTACCTCCACCGATTTCAGCATACCCTCCTCCATATCCTCCACGAACAGTTTCTTCATCGTCGGGTTCTCCTCCACTTCCCCCGAAATATCCTCCCAAGACCGCTTCCTGCCACCCATCCTGAGCAGCTCAGTGTTCGTGCCATACTCATTGAGTAAAGGAGGCCCTGATTTGTCATTGTGCGCCTTGCCCTCCCCATCCACCACGCCACCCGTCTCCTTCCCAGCCTCCAGAGCTTGGACCACCTGCCTAACCCGGCCCGTCTCTGCTGGTTTACCATTCGTGGCCAAGGACTGGGTAACCCTTGCCCGGATTTCAAACCGGCCACCAGCTCCATCCGACAAGGTGGCATCGGAATCATCTAACCCCGACCCCGAGTTCTTGTACGGCGACTCCCACTCCTCCGAATCTTCCTCCACCAGCACCATCTTCCCCTTATGCACCCGAGCTGCCTGTTGCACAACTTCCATCTCTGCTGGCAGCAGATCACTCCCCGGGCTAGCAACCAACGTACAAGCGCGCTTCTGGCTAGGAGGATCAGCCGACTTGAAAGCAGCTTCATCCGCGGCCCGAGTGGATTCACCCTCCCCTTGCACCTTTCGAGCAGCCGAGACCAACGGGGCATCATCCTCTGACTCCGCCAGCAGCAGCTGCCGACGACAAACTGCCTGCTGCCTCACTGCCGGGGACGAGAGTTTCTCCTTCCTCTTCCCGCGCCGTACAGTCTTTCTCCCCGCCAACCGGTCACCATCCTTCCCCCGAGCAGCCACCATCTCCTGGTCCTCCGGCCGAGTTTTGGCTTGCTTCTCCTCCTTCCGCACCCCGCGTCCACCAGTACGGCGTCGTGGCTAGGCCTCACCAGCCTGTTCGACTTCAGCCTCCTCAGCAGCAGGAACACTCCGCAGCCTTTTCCTTCGCACTGGCTTGGCCTCGCCAGCCTGATCGACGTCGGCCTCCTCAGCAGCACTAGCACTCCGCATCCGGGTCATGCACACTAGTTTGGAAATCACAAAACCCTTCGGACTACCACGACGCTGGGGGGGAACCGCAATCCCCGCTTGAGGAACCTTCTCAATTCTCCCCTAAAGCTCCATTCGTGCCTGCTCCTGCCCAGTAGTACTTTCCGCTTCCACCTCATGCACCAGCCTCCTTGCGGGTCCTCCCTCCTGGCGATTTAGCCCACGAAGAGCTTGGCGCCGGGGAATACCTTCGCCTTCCTCCGACAGACGTCGAATGTTCTTATTGACCCACACCGTAGGGGGGTTCTCCTCCTCCGCAGCATACACGTTCACTCCCCGTCGCCGAGTAGACATGTGGATGCCGAATTTTTCTTTCCGGGTAGGAGGATCGAAGGTACATTCCCTTTGAAAGTGGCCGATCCTTCCACATCGAAAGCAGAAGCTGGGGAGATGCTCGTATTTGAGCGAAACCCAGAATCGACCAATCTCCTCGTTGGCTGCCATGACCTGGGACCGGAGCGGCTTGGAAAAATCCACCAAGACTCGGACTTTGACAAATCCCTGAGCCGATTCTTGACAGGCATAGACTCCCGCCTCCAGCACCTTCCCAATCATATCATTAGTAACTTTTCGACCAAATTGTTGCGTGCAACACACTTCTTTGATATCCCAAAGTTGGACATAAAACGGGGCCACCGCCAGATCATCAAAAACCTGTTTGGTTATCATTGGCACCCAAGCTCGCACATGGAAGAGACGGTTGTTGATGACCCACGGCGAACGCTTGAGTACCCAACTTTTGGAAGCTTCATTGGGGAGCACGACTTCGAACAAGCCCATGCTTGCCTCCATCACTTGCAGCCGACCCTTCCCCTGCCAAGGCGTATCAAGAGCCTCGCGCAGCTCCAGCAACGTGAATCGATTCGCCGAGAACAGCCTACCCAGCACTGAATGCGCACTTCGATATTTGGTCGAATGAACTTCCTCAAGCAAAAATTGAACCACCTGGTCGTCGTTCACGCGCGACATGCTGAGCTGCTGCAAGGAGTTCGGCCGGCGAGCTGCACTAGGTGAGGTGTTGCTCTCGGTCACAATGTCCCAGCCTCTGTTTATTAGGTTTATGGTGGGTGGAATACATAGGGTTAGTGGCTTTATATAGGAAAACCGGAGTCCCCTCCCCAAGCAATGATTCCACGTAAACTCAACCGAAAAAAGAGATGTAATGGGTTTTGGACTCTCGGAACGCCATCCCACCAAACCGGCCGCCGAAATCTTTGGGTAAAACCCCGATCCACATCAGATACCCATCACACGACTGTTACCAGTCCGAAGACTTCGCGGCGACCATTTCGGCCGCGTAAAATCGTAACTGTTCCTCCAAACGGCCGCTGTCGGTAGCAAAGAGGAGAATCGCCCCTCCTCCGCCGTACCAGCACTCAAAACACCGCCCCCCGCAAGGCTGCAAACCGCCGTCGGGGGATTCTCAGTCGAGAAATCAGGTGAGGCAGCATCCACCCCATCGACCTCCAATGACTGAGGATCAACTTTCATACAATTCTCTGGACTCATTTCCGAGACCCCCTGTGGTTCCAACGGAACTTGATTAGAACCCCAATTTTCTCCCTCTTCAATTTCAAATGGTGACGGCAGGGAGAACCTCCATCCACCTTTCGATTTTTTACGCGGACAAGCCCGCTTGGGCATATTTGGGAGCACGAGTTCCGGCTCACCAATTACCCTCTTCCGTTTCCGTTTACGCATCCACGATGCGCCAGAGATACCTATTCACTTTGTTCGAAATTGCCGATTTCCCTGGAGAAACAAGCCACCCAGTTCTGGTCCGGTCTTGCTCCTCTGTCCTATCCCTCTGATCCTGATCTTTGCCGCTCCCCATCGTGCTTGCGTTCTTTGGGCTCCACCCTTGATTCGCTAGGCTGGTGCAGAATAAGCCGGTGAGGACGGCGCCAAGGAGGCGACCAACGAGTTTGCATATCCGGAGGAGAGAAAGCAGAGCGTCTCTCATAGTAATTTACACTTCATTTTTTGTATTTGGTGAAAATAAAGTGTAGTTTTCTAATCTAAAAAGTCAAGCCTTTTGCAGCGATTAGATTTGGACAAAGTAAATGGAGACAACTTTGTTGGGCTAGGTCAGGGGGCGTTCTTTTGTGGGGGTCAGATATAGATTTCATTCGTGTCATAGAAGAAACAAAAATGATAGAACTAAATTGAGAAATTAGGAATTTATGGAATTTATAGCTTGAGTTGTTGGTTGATAACGATCATTCATTAAGAACCCTGAGAATTTGTGGCCTGGGGTTTTCTTGATTGTCTTTGACGAAGCGACGAGGGTAGGGGATGGGGAAGGAGTTGCGGCTGTGGTGACAGCAGTGGGTTTAAGCTCATTTTGTAGGTTGATTATGATAATTTGGTTTCAATGCTCTTGGCAATTTTGAATAGTATGAATGAGAATGAAAGTGGAAAGAGCCAAGAAGAAGCTCTTGAAGTATCATGTTGGTATGATGTGGGAAGGCGTGGCGTCGAATTCGGACAATTTGACGTATTATGTGGGTAATCAGTTAAATTGGTTTGTGTAATAAAAAAAAACGAACCGATGTTGCGGTTGGAATAACCAAACCGGTCCAACATTCATTGGCTGAACTGATGCAATAGTTGAGAAACTTTAAACGCCATTGCAATGGTTGTGTATAACCACCCACACGAAGAGTCACCTCCCTTTGTACACACCCCTTCATTTTCTATAAATAACACTAACCTCTCTGGTTTTTACATATAATTTTGTGGTCGCAATCTACGAGTTGCGGCCGTGATCTTCCTCGCGGTCAAACAGCGTTGTGGTCGAGATTTGACTTGGGAAACTCTCTATTTCTCCCTGGCTCCTTCCTCGCGAAGTTCGCGCACTGAGCCCTTCAATTCGCGGTCATGATCTTGGGCTTTCAGACCGTGATCTTCAGCTTGAGTTCGCGGTTTACGTTTGCGATCGGGATCTTCAGCTTCCAGGCCACGATCTTCAGCTTCCTTCCCCCTTGCTATACTTGTAACCTAGTTTTGTACCTAATTCGCATATGTCGTCTAATACACACTAAATTCACATCGAATTCACATAGAAACTAAATAGGGATGCAATCGACGATGTTCAAGCAATTATGCACATGAATTGGCATGAAATACACCTTGAGATAAGGACTAAATACACTAATTTAGGTGTTATCAGCAATATATAAGTAGACTTGAGATAAATGCTCATTTACGTTGAATTTGTTTAAGAAGATCTCTCCTCATATTTTGGAATTATGTTCATTTTATGTTTCTGATATTTATTCATCAAGAGAATTTTAGTATTAGTGACTGTCTGGTAAGTTGATACAATATTCTTGCATGTGATGTGATTCAATCCCAAGTTATATTTGGCTCAAGTTTCACAAAAAAAATTATATCACAATTGTTTTTATTGAAAAGGGTGAGAGGAACTTTATTAATTAGCATTATTATTGTGATGCTTTGTATTATTAGGTAATTATAGGTATGGCTCTAGTTACAAACTCAGCTTTCTTTATATAGTTGTTGAAATTCCTATACAACTTGGCAAGCCTTCTCATACATGTTTTTCTTAGTAATATATTACACAAGTACACATCTACCATTCGTAGAGTAGAGTAACCAACACCTTAGCTTAGCTATATGTTTATTTTGTTTTTTTATAGTATTGATGATGATTTGTTTTTAGTGTGCAGCAGTATTGCACTCTGTTGGGGGTCCCTGAGGGAAGCGCTTGGTGTCGGTACAGTAGTTGTAAATCATATAGTGGGTCTGTACCCATCTCAGCTTCTGCTGGCTCATCGAATCCAGCCGCTGATTCAGCCACCCGGACGTGGCAGCAGGTGGAGTACAAAACGTCGACGTCTCACCGCCCCTCCAAACGCATACCTCCCCTGCTCTGAAATCTCTGTACGAGGCCGCGAATGGAGCGTTGGACCAATCCGTCTTCACCAACCCACCTCTGGTCGCCCAATCGTCGGCGTTCCATAGGCTCGAGTACAGCCTCATCGGCCGTGATTTCGGGAAAGGAACCCCGGCCGCCTCCAGGTTCTTGAATTCTCTTATCGGGTTCCCGTCAACCGAGAAACTGGAACGAAGAAGGGGGGAAAAACAGAGGGGGTGAGAAGTTACGTTGGGGGGTCAAAAAACAGAGCAACCCATTTTGCATCGATGAACGCACGCACGTACACGATGGTGTTGGGGTTCCAGAGGATGGAGTAAGTGTGGAAATCGGCGGTGGGATCAAACCAGAGACGGAACTGTTGCTCCCTGTCGCCTTTTCCGTTGGTGAATACGTTTGTGTGGAGGGTGTAAGGTTGGCCAGACAAGTTCCCCAGGAACTCATAGTCAATCTCGTCCCATGCCGCTCCCCCTGACTTGAGCTGCACGCATGAATTGCCGGGTAATTAATAAGCCAGCAGCTACGTAAGTAAATAATGTAATTGGGGGAATTAAGAAGAAAAAAAAAAGAACTAAGAAAGAAGAAATAAGGGGTTAGGACTTACGAAGTAGGCGGTGACGGTGCCGGCGGAGTTGCCGGGGACGAGCTTGAGCTGCATGTCGAGTTTGCCGAAAAGGTAGTGGTTCTTGGACTGGAAGCCGGAGCCGGAGGTGCGGTCGAGAGTAAGGGTGAGGAGTTGGCCGTTGTCGAGTATGTGGGCGCGGCCTTGTCCCCATGTCAGATCGAATTCTCGATTGAAATCCGCGGCGGATATTGGGGGAAAGAGGAGGAGGAGGCTGCAGCAGCTTAAAGCCAGAATTGGAGGGATGAGGAGGGAAATGGAGGTCGACATTGTTCTTGTACGGGCCGGGGAATGGAGGTGGAGGATGGGTATGTGGTTTCTTTATATATTATATTGGTCCTCTGCTTTGCTCTCATGGGCATGTGAATAGTGTGCATATAGCTACACATAATATAATATAATACACCGAAGGAAAAAACGGGAGCCCCATTTCAAATTTCCTGCAACGAGAGTGAAAGTAGGAAGGACATTTTGGTCTTCACAATTACTTTTTTTTATTCATTAAAAAGACACATACTGGGATTTGAACCATATCCATTTTAAAGAAAAACAAGAAACATAACCAATCACACTAAGTACATTTGTTGTATCTTTTTAAATCAAAAACATATAATAGCAGGGAGAAAAAACCCCTTCCCCCATTTCAAATTCCCTACTCCATGAGCGTTTGTAGGAAGGGTATAATAGGTAGTGTTAATTTTTTTCTCTTTCCTCTGTGGAACGGGCCAACTTACCGTACACATGCGGATTTAAACGGGTTCAGGAGTGTCAATTTTTTTCTTTAAGCCCTTGTATTTCTCCGTGGTGATAAAATATATATGAAAAAGCAAAAACAATACTTCTTTTTATACTAAAAATAAAAAAATTTAACAATAAACTAATACATGGTATCTAATGGGCTAACCGCTAACCATAAAATAAAAGAGTAGAATGGGCCTGACCTACACCAAATTTGGCCATCAAGTTAAACAAATGAACATCATTGGTTTGACATTCTAAAACAAGTTATTTTCTCTAGCATAATATATATTATTATATTATTTTATATCTTAGTGGCTAAAATATAATGTAGTTTAAAGTTATTCAATGGTTCAACCTCGACCAACCCAATTAGTCCAATTTTTATCATTTCAAATATATATTATATAATTATTTGATATCATAATGATAAAATTATAGTGTATTTTATAGGGAATCGCTTGGTATTTGTTAGTAAAAAACTAAACAGAAAGATCTATTTGGTTATTTTAAACATTAAAATGATCCTAAACATTTTCAGTTTCTTTTGAATTTCTATAGTTTTATTCCCGAATAAGTGATGTGCAAATGGCGAATTGCAGTCATCTATTTTCTTTCACTATTTTTTATTTTCAAATAGAAAGTTTAAAAGTAACGAATAATTAGAATTTTGCATGGTTCGGTCAAACAGCCTGAATTTTGAGTTTTGGCCCGTTTTGATCAAGTCTAATTTATAATCACATGGTTCCCTGATACCCGATAAAAATCTCAATCCAAACCAGTTTGGCAGGTGAGTCCGTGTTTACCACCATTCTCTAGGAATACGACAACGGCGGTTCCTATCCCAAATCGTGTTGTTCGTTCTTGATTTCCTTAGATTTTATCATGGCCTGACAAAAACCAGAAAGCACAATGACGACAAGATGAAAGTTTTATAAATCAAATTAATGGTGTTCTCTTTCTGATCTCATGTAATTATATAATGAAGTTGAAGTTTTTTTATGCTATTCAATTTCATTGGTATGTTTTTAATGGTCTAACTTCATAGTTGTACCAACTTTTGATGTACTGTTTATGTTCCAATATATTCACTTTGGTATGATTATTAGGGATATGCTAGGCGATACTCACCATTAGACCAATTTAGCTTAATGGTTGAATCTACGGATTATACCAATAATTCAATATTCGGCTCAGCTCCTCCGACCAACGGGTCGGGTTACAAGCTAGTAATATAATATAGGTGCAGGACACTGGAAGACAAATAGAGAGGACAGCTATCTTGAGAAATAGTAAGAAACAAAAGAGAAGAGATGGACTACTAAAAGTTGAATGGGACCGTACGTGTAAAAGAAGAACATTTATCTAGTAAGATCGTTGCTATTTAAAGCATATATATAATTTTTGTGTGAGTATCGTCCGCTTCGAATGTGGTTTGGGGTGGGACATGAACCAATTTAATTACAATTTACTGGAATCCTCCATTTTTTAAAATAAATCATTTTCTTGTTTAGTGGGAAAATCTTTAAATTTTACTATATAAGAAAAATAGGGTATGCTTGTTATTCTTTTGTGAATCCACATCTAGAAGTGGGGAGGAGACGCAAGGCAATCATTTAATACATGAGTATGAGTTATAAACAGATCAGTTATAAATGGTTCGGATTGATAAATTAATGGATTGGTGAATTCATGAATGAAATAAAATTAAATTTTAAGTATCAAAATATAATCGGTCAATATAATTTACGAGTCAAAATTATGCAGAGTATATGTACTAGAAGGTGGAAGGGGAAACAACGGACATAAACACTCAGTCAAAATGGTCTGAAAAAAGGGGGAGAAAAAGACATTTTTGTGGGATGGTGCATGCATTTGATTTTGACATGCATGTAGGAGGCTATGTGGAGGACAAAAGTGATGCCATATATGGATTCAGAATATTATGTGATGTCTATCCACTTATCTTATCGTGACAAAAAGTGTTTGTGAATGGAATGAAATGGAACAGTGATCGACCGATTGTGTTGCGTCGTCGCGGTTGGGATTGGCATGCACTCATGTCTCTATCTGCCACTGAGCTGGCGTCCACCTCTCTGGTCTCTGCCACCTTATTTTTCGTCTCATCTTTTATTGATACGCTACATTCTTTTTGTCTCCAAATACCTACGTGTGGAATTTTGCTATTCTCTCCTCTGCACTATTTTTGGAGGTTGGTTTTTCATCGAACATTCAAGGGTGCATATTAAATGTCTACTTAAATAAATGGGTCAGACTTGTTTGGAAGGAATAGATAGTGGATTGTGGAGCAGGCTTCATTTATTGTCTTTACACATGAGTTATTTGTGTTTAGTAAAGTTCAATTTAGAAAATTTTCTTGTACGTTGCATGTGAGCAAAATTATATGTGTATTGAACAAAACACACAAAGAAAACATATTCGTATTGGAAAAAAAAATCACATAATATGTATTCATAATTTTTACAACTTGTATTCAAAATGAGAAGAACATATTAGAAAACATATTCTTACCGAACAAAAAACATATTCCTACCAAACATAAATAAAATATATTTGTCATTTGCACAACTAGTATTCCCCGATTTCCACTACTCTCTCTTACTTTTCATATCTTGGGTGTATACGATGCCACTTACCCATACATTGTTTTCTATGTCTGGATCAATGGACCGTCTAAAAATCTACATATGTATTATGCGCTTTGCACACTTTTAGATCAAGCGGAAATGAAAAATCTACATATGTATTACAATGCAATGGAAATAAAAAAGCGGTAGTCAACCAAATGAGTTGCTACCGATGCAAGGGCCGTTTGTGCCACGCGATGGGCAGCCCTGTTAGTACCACGAGGAGCAAACACAAAAGAAACAAATGCAAAAGAGATCTTGAGAAATCACACTTCTTCAAGCATCGCGCCACCTCGACCATGATAGACATCAATCTCCATATATAGTTCGCCGAATGACCAATTGAAAATCACCACAAAAGCAGACAAAAGGATGTCTATCATCCTGTCCATCAATCTCCAATGCTCGTCAATTACCACATAGGCGACAAACAAAGAAGAGGGTCTGGTTACCATTAAAATAAATAAATAAAATAAAATAGAATTTGGAGAGTGGAATCGTGCGGCAAACCACCAATGAAATCGTCGGGGGTGAAACCGCCAAAAAACTGAATCTGCAGCCAACCGCCCACTGTCCTCCGTAAGGTTGGATGCCATTGCTTCAACAGCGCGATGGCGGCGGCGAGGAAGAACCCACATCTCAGTCTCTAAGAAAAACCCTGCAAAAAATAGGTGGTATCCGATAGAAAGGGTTTTATGTGTGGCCAACAAACTGCTAGATTGGCGAGAGGACAGCCACCGAAAGTTGTGGTGAAGCATGACATTTACGCTTTGAGAACAGGGAAAACCAAAAAGAGGTCACCTTTCTTCAACCAATACAAGCAATTAGGGCTCGTACAACAAGATGACACCTAAGATGATCAGGCAGAAGAGTGTGAAGAGCAAGACAAAGAAGGCAAAGGGAATTGCTTCGATAAGGTTGATTGGAAGGGATTGAGACAGTACACGAAAGTGAATATGAACGAAAAGATAAAAAGGAATAATGAACACAAGTAATAGAATGCAAATATACTTCCCTGAATATGTCAAATGATTGAGGTTGTCTACGAGAATCCGTCGGCAGAACATGCAGGATCTCACTATACGGAATCGGCGAAGCGGAAACCGCCACTCGAAAGTCGTCGATCGCCTTGCTTAACCGGTAGGCAGGCAATTCCGTTCCCAATCAGGACTCCTATTAATATCTCCGGCGATGGATTCTATTTTCCGGCAGCGGCAATAGGCGATGACGAGCAGCCGCAGACAAGTCGGTGGTGATGTGCAACGAGGAGAGCGAGGGTTGTGGCCGCTAACCTTTCACTCCTACTATTTTCTGGTTTAGTACGATCCTTCCTCGCATTATACTCCTAATTTTGAACTATAATTGATAGCATTAATTTAATGTGCTGATATAACATAGAATCACAACTAATCAATCTATTATCTTAACCATTGAAACTTCAATTTTGAATCCTGACCCAAAACCCCAATTTTTAAACCTAAACACTAACCCTAAATCCCTAAATCTTAAATCCTTCAAATTAAAGTAAATCTTGAATGATTTTTTTCTTTGATTGCATGTGTATTTTGTTCATATATCATAAGCGATGATCGATATTGTTCTGACATGAATTTCATGCTCGAAATGACGATTTTGAAGCGGATGGATTCAATGCACCGAAAAAAGTGGGTGCACTAAAGATGCCACCATATATATATATATATGTTAAGGATTTAGGCTAGCATACGTCAAGCGTACGCCCGTCGAGTTTTACTATTTAGAACACGAATTAACCGGAGTTTGGGGCACGATATTATACCCTAACCTCTAACGGGTGAACCCCAGTCCCTAATTCTCTAACCCAAGCCCCAAGATTCATTTAATCTAAAAAGATAACTGTCGGTTTTGATTCAGCGAAATATATTGA